TCCATAATACTTTTAAATGGTCTTCCTAATATGATTTTTTTCGCTCGTTTTTTACCAATATGATTCACTCTACAGAGTTGATCAAGAGAAGCGGTATTGATGTTCACCTTAGGAATATTCTTGACTTTATCGGGTTCAGACTCGGACATAGCGGACCTGTATGCTCTGCCAGAAAATGGCCCAAAATAGTCACTAAAAAACTTTTCCATCTACAATCCCAGACCTTTTCGGAAGTTTAATAACGCAGTTATCTGCAGTCGTAAAGAGGATGAAAAAATCATTTTCCGATGCTGATTTTTTATATTCTTGTTCGAATACCTCTTGACTGATTAGTTTTTTGGGTCAGTTTGTATTGGTGAATTTCGTTTGAGCTCTCAGCACCCGGCTGATCTAATGAATGGAAGGCATCACCCTATGGCGAACCTGGAGCGTTAGTATTACAATGTTTGAATCGCCGGACATCAACGGTAGTATTACTGCAATCCACATTCCATTCACTTGTAGTGAGATTTTTAGACTTTGTGTCTGTTTGGTGTCTGGCAATCTTAATTTGTAGATTGTGGTTTCTAAATTGGATATTACAATTCAAACGCGCTCCCGCGTGAACCTTTGAGATCGTTTTTAGGTCATCTTCTTCGATCACAGCTGACTTTATACAACGAAATGACGCGACAAATTTTTTAAAACTCTGCTGTGACTTAATTTCAGTGATAACACAGGATTCAGAAGTGCCTTTTGCTCTCCATAATCAGCGAATTCCCAATCTCGAAGTATTGGATCTTCTTGCTCATGAGATATCTCCACAAATATCCAGAGCCAGATATACGGTGTAGTGAGGTATCCCATTGGACTATCTTCATTTACGTAATCAGTCCAGACCCAGCATATTAGTCAGGCATTTTTTCGATATTGGGAACAGGTTTGTATAAATTTAAGAGAGCTTGGGTCAATATTGCTCGTGCCATGAGCCTGGCGTCTTCCACAGAACCAAAAATAGCCTCACGATACTGTATTTCAAAGTAAGGTCCCTACGCAGATCGCTCATCAAATCATTAAGGTTACATTCCTCAATGTTACGGCCGACCAAGCAATCATTCAAAATTTCTAGAGCCCTTCCATGTCCTCCACAGTCTTCCACAAGAATAGTAGTAATCGGATTATTTTTGAAGACCGGGACCAAGCTATCTCCTTAACGATAGTTTGGAGGTTGTAGAGAAGTAACTGGTAAGTATACACGTTTCCGATGCAAGGTTTTTAACGTATCCTCAATCGGGCCAGTGATTGTTGAAGTACAAACTGGTATTACGAAACTGCCACTAAATGTAAGGTCTGAAATAGCTGATAATGTATGGTAAAGCAGAGAATCTGAGTTAAGACCATCATCCTTATTGGACATAAGCTGTTGCATACCGTCAACAACCAAAATAACTGTAGTATCCTTCAGGTCTCGGTTATGATATTTGGCGATCAATAACATGACACCCAATGGAGGTGATGGCTCATACAGACCCCTACAATAAATTACCAGGATTTTTTATTACATAATTGACAATCTTTTTTTTTTTTCAAAAAAATAAATTTATTTGACTTTAATCATTTATGTATGGTCAGCAAAAAAAAAAAATAAACTTTAACTTTAGTAGTTTATTTTAATGTAATTTAAAATGTGACATGTCAATATTTCGTGTTTTTACCTTTAGCCTTAATAACTGCTTCGACATGTCGAGACAAGCTCAAAATTAAGTTCCGTACCACTTCAACACTTATTTTTGCCCATTCATCTTGTACAGCATTACTTAAATCTTGCATAGACATGGGTGAAGGTTTTCTTTTTCGAATCTGGCAGTCTAAATGGATCCACAAGTTATCGATTGAATTAAGATCATGACTTTGCAAAACTAATCTAAAACTTGGATGCCATGGTTTTAAGCCACCAAGCTGTATATAGAGAAGTGACAGCTTGCACCATCTTGTTGAAATATGATGCCAGGACTGTTAAAAACCCAGGGTATAAAGTGGGTTGCAAGAACATTAACATAGGCCTCCAAATTTATTGTCTGTTCCACGAGTATCAAAGGACAGATGCCGTTTCATGAGAAACAATCCCAAAACATAGCTGATCCCCCTCCAAATTTTACAGTAGGTTTTATACAGTCTATATTATAGTCTTCACCAACCCTGTGCCAAAATTGCACTCATTCGCCTGACTCAAATAAGGCAAATATAGACTTATCAGACCATGTAATCTGCTTCCATTCCTTATCCCAATTACATTTCTCTTTGCATCAATTAAGTTGTGCTAAACTTTGTTTTTTTTGTAAGAAGAGGTTTTTTTTTGTGCAACACAGCTTTCTAATCCAACTTCATGTAAGTAACTTTGAAATGTATTTGCATAAAATGTTGTACCTAGTTGGGTGTTTATATCATTCAAGATACTTCCTAGAGGTGCAAAACAGTTTTTTCGAACATGACGTTGTAGTAGACGCTTGTCATGTTCAGAAAAGAATTTTGGTCATCTGAGACATGTGTCAGGATGTGGTGAGTTTTTTTTTTTATATCATTTTATTGTATCATAAACAGTTGAGAAGAGTATGTTAAGTTGAGTGGCAATAATAATGCCTTTAGTACCTGAAAGATGGATACCAATGATTTGCTCACATTGCTGGGGGCTTAGCTCTTGATCACGCATTTTTAGTGTGACAAGAAACTAGAAAATAAGGCAAATAAACACAAAAAAAAATTTTTGTAAAACACAACTAAATTAAAATAGAAACATGCTTTTAAATTTTTTTGGCTGCCGTGATCAGCCAATCGTGATCATCAATCCTGGTAATTTATTGTAGGGGTGTGTATATGAGGTAGTTGCAATAGTATTTGAATACCAATGCCCAGAAAAGGGTCTTTTCCTGGTCATATGGATGTGCCATTCTCATAGCTGATAAAAAATACCCAAGCTTTTTTTGATCCTAGTCAACAATTCCATATCTTCTTGAGCCAATAAACATGCGACCACTGTCTGATGAAATTCACTAGCATTTTGAGATTTTCAGGTATTAGCTCCAGAAAGAAAAAGATAAATTGGAAACGACTTTTGTCAAAATGCTCTAAAAAAAATTTTCATAATGTACTTTAAGCTCTTTTCATAAAATATGCTTCAAAGATAGGTAAGGTTGATATTCCCAATTCATATCAGAAGTATAGAGTAAAGGATCTGAATTCAAGTATGGCAAACCTAGCATATAAACAGTATATATTCAGTCAACCTTAATATATGAATGTTGAGTTTCAGATGAGAATTATTTAATATATACACCGTCTCCCAAAAAGAATACAACACCTGATTGGCAATCTTTAAATGCTAAATTTTCAAGAATAAATCAGATTAATATGAAAATTATACTATAGATAGAATATAAGTATACTTAAATAATGTATAAATTAAAATAAATATTAAATTAATAAAAAAAATTTTAGGATAAATTTTAAAAAATTTACTGTTGCAATATTTTTAAAGTTTTTTAAAAAAAATAAAAAAATTTATTTATTTATAAAAAATATATACATATAATTATAAAAATATATTTGATTTCTATTACCATCTTGTATAACCACCTTTTGTTTTAATAATATCATTAATTCTTTTAGGCATTGTTTCTATATATTCCTTACAAGTTTTTTCAGATGTTTCATTTCAAAT